CGGCTCCCGCTGCTTTGTTGTTCTTCAGCCGGGTAATTACTATTCGAACTTCTTCAAGGCCTTACAATGAAGCGTCTGCTTCATCGTCATCGATTGGGGAGTCGGGTTAACCTCCTACTGGCGTTGTGCGTTCACTGCCATTCTGCMGGCTGGACAAGTGTTCCCTCCATAACTTAAATATGCTCGGGCATCGGTCACTAAATCACCTTTGGGGATTCTACAAAAGTATTCTCCAGTCTTGAAACCATCATTTAGCTTCCGCATCTTTTCGTAGAATTTTCGAGCGTTCCCTTGCCGGCCAGCTTATCAAGCTCTTCACACTCACCCATTTCGGCCTCTTTCTTTTTCTGTCTGTAACTACGTCTCGTTCCCTCTTCAACTCTCGGTATGTATCCCAACCCGCACGTGTTGTGGTCGATCGGAACGTTGCAAAGTAGGTAGGCTGCTTTCTCTCCGCTGCAACACGGCACTCCTCGTCGTACGAGCTGTTCTTTTTCGGTTGCAGCTGTACGTAAGGAGTTTGAAATGCCTTCCCACAATTCCCTTATACCGAGTTGTTGGCGAGTGTTCTCAGAGAGCAGCAGTGGAAGCCGAATAGAAAATCGTTAGAATGCCTGTTGTGATTGCAGCTTCTTGACGTCTCCTTGCTGCACAGAGGCGCGTGGGAATCTTGGCTGCAATACGATAGTGGTCTGAGTCGATGTTAGGACCTCGGAGGGCACGCACATCTAAAACACTGGAGACGTGTCTTCCGTCTATCACAACATGATCGATCTGGTTGGTGGTTTTTCGATCCGGAGATTGTGGCGTTCATTCACCTGGGTGAATGATAGTACTCGGCGACGGAGTCTCTCTCCCACCATGAGTCCCACACTAGACTTGCGCTCCTTTATATGGTCACTGTAGTAAATGTCACAAGGACGTACTCGTCTCAGTCCTTGTCCCGTCCATCGCATTTCTTAGTCGGCGGTGATGTCAGCCTTTATTTTTACGAGGACATCAACCAGCTGGGCAGCCGCACCTTAGCAATTAAGTGACCGCACATTCCAGGCGCATGCCATCAAATCATAGTCCTTAATTCGTTTGCAATGGTCGTCATCACGTTTTTACGTGGCTGGTCCTATACCCAGCGCACAAACCTACGTAGGAGATGTTTCGCTTTCTCATTTTAGCTCACCTTCAAACGGATGCTCYTAGACTTTTCAGAGGATACCTGGTCAGCTGCTTGAGCCATATGTAAAAGAATCGTTTCTAGCCACTCCCAAGTAAATAGTGATCAGAGAACTTTCCTCACTTGCGTGAACTTCTACACATGACTCCATTCTCCAGAGGAGGGTCATGCAGAACAATGTAAAACTATGTGCTCTGCTCTGCTCGGAGTTTTGTGAGGTAAAAAAACTATAGCTGTACCGATAGCCAAAAAACGCCTCTGGCGTAGCGGTAGCAAAAAATTGGGAGCGGTAGTAGAGCAGAGCTAATTAAAATTGTCATGTGCTACAGCTCTCGCATATCGCATAGCACACACAAAGTGAGAGCGGTAGCTATAGCATAGCAATAATTTAGAAATTTTCTTTCTGTTTGTTTTTTTTTTTTTTTTTTTGTCGAGAGAGGACTTTACTTCTCCGATGCCTGCTCAGTTCGAAGTAGCACCTGTCGACAAGAGTTATCCTGCGTTGGACTTCCAGGCTGTAATTGTTGTTGCTGTTAATTCTGTTTCCAAGATAGACGAAACTATCTACAATTTCGAAATTATGACAGTCCACAGTGACGTGGGAACCAAGATATTTCGTCTTGCCCTCGTTCACTGCCAAATCTATTTCCTTTGCTTCCTTATCTAGTCTGGAGAAAGCAGAACAAAAGGCACGGGTGTTGATGTTAATAACATTAATGTCATCGGAACACGCCAGCAGTTGTGCGCTCTTATAGAAAATTGTACCTGGTTGACTAAGTTCTTTAGTTCGAATTATTTTCTCCTGCAGCATATTGAAAAATCGCATGATAGAGAGTAACTTTGGTTGAAACCTCATTTGGTATCGAACCGTTCGGAGAGGTATTTCCCGATCTTGACGGAGCTTTTGGTATTGCTCAACGTCAGTTTACACAACCGTATTAGTTTTGCGGGGATACTAAATTCAGACATCGCGGGATAWATGCATCTCCTTTTTTTGCTGTCAGAAGCAACTTTAAAATCAACGAAAAGGTGATRTGTGATCTTTCCCAAAATTTGGCGCATGGTGAATATCTGGTCAGTTATTAATATTATAGACGTAAAGCCACTGATAAGGTCCAATCAGTTTGTTGGCGGTGGACTTTAATATTTTACACAATACGCCCCATTGGAAGCTCATATGCGATGTTTAGGAAAATTTTCCCAAGGTAGTTGGAGTCTTGGGTCTCCTTTTCGTGGATTTGGCAGATTATTTAATACTTTTTTGCACTTTTTGGCTGCAGCGATGGACGAAGAGTTTTCAAGTTTCCTGACAGTGGATCGGATATCGAACGGTGAGTAATTAAAAAAAAAAACTTTAAATAGTGCAAAAAATGATAAGCATGTTTATGTGACTTTATGGACAATTTCGGTAATTAAATATAATATGTGTTTCGATTTTGTAATTAAAATAGTATATTTGGATATCGGATAATGGTGAAATTGAAATTAGTTACCATGTATTTTTATAGATGAAGATTTTAAAAAAGTTTTCGATAATAGAACAAAATATTAATAGACATTTGGACTTATTGAATATTTAACATAGTTGTAAAATCGAGAAAAAATCTAGCTTTTAAATATTCAACGGGTTTATTAAAATAAAATATAATTTTTAAGGCACTTTTTGCACTATTATTATTATTATATACATTGTTTAAATGAGTTACTCTACCCGGAAAACCTAGCACGCACTAATACAACACTTCCGATGACAGCATACTCGTATATCACCACACAACACAATTCACCACACTTCTACATCAAGCAATCCACTTAACAAAAAGGCTGGGCAAAAGAATTACGGACACATTTTCTTTTTGACATATTTTCGATCATACGCGGCGCCACATAAATCCTCCTGCGATCCCCCAGCGGCCCAGTATGCAACTTACCCGCTCCGTACACCTACATACTTTCGTCGTTCAAATTTTATTTTTCATAAATTTAAGTACATTAAATGATTGTAAACCCATTAAATGATTTTACATATTAAACGTCAGCATTTTTTAATAAACAAATGGTAAAGTGGTTAATAGTTTGTGTCCAAATTAATGGCAACAAATTATTCATGGTCCTTCGAGCTTTATCGAAAGGCACCTATAACAGACAAAACAATAATAATTAACATAATAATAATAATACATAAATTTGGTGGCAATCGAAGTGCGAAAGTGAAATATATGCATAAAGTGCCGTGGTGAAAACCAAAATACAAAGTGCAGTGACTCAAACAGAAAAAAAAWAAATAATAATAATAGTATAAAATAAACAAAAAAAGGAAGAAAAGAAGGTGGAGTGCAGTGCTCTTAAAATATACAAAAGGTGAACTGGCAAGCACAAAAACAAAGTACAAGAAAAAGCAAAATATAGGTCAGAGTTTCAACAAAAAAAAAAAAAACAAAGAACCAAACACAACAGACAATATTAGGCGCGAAACCTTAAAACGAAACAGAAATCGGCCGCGAAATCAAAAAATACAATAAAACAACAAAAATCAACAAAAAGACACAAAAACGGCACAAACGGGCGCGAACAATTGTAACAAATATACAATAMSTGCCAAAAAAAGTATCCAGAGTTCTTCATTCCCCCTTTCCTCACCCGAACGGAATGTGCATACAAACAAAACAACAGCGCAAGTTGGTAGCGGGAGCGGAGGGAAAAACGCAGAAGGCAGCATAAATACATACAAACAACAAAAAAAAAAAACAAAAACGCCCCTGAAGGAACAGAGTGAGCGTATTCAATCCAATTTTCCATTTTGTTATATGCATATACATATATAAAAAAAAATTACTGATTTATATGCTATTATCAAATCGGTAATCAAAATCCGTTTTAACATCACTATAAAACGGTAGCCAAACTTTTGGGGTTCAAGTTTAATTTACGGAAAAAAACCGATAAAAGTTTGGTATAATATATACATTTATCTAAATAAAGATAAATAAACCAAGTGGTTATATGTTACGCGTACTTTGGTGTATTCAAACATAACCACTTAACAAAAACAAAAAGCAGCCAATATTCAAACATTCACATGCGAAATATTTCCGGCAGTCCCTTATGTTTAATAAAGCAACAAGCACGACTGCATACAGTAAGAAACCAAAGGCAGAAATATTTAAAAACATAAAATAGAAAACGGAGACACAAACAAAACCAAAATAACTACCCTACAAGAACGATGATAATCACATGATCAATCATATGACAATCACTAGTGACACAATTTTCTGTCACTGGCTCAGTGCAAGTTTCTATCACATTTTTAAGGGCAATATGAAAAAGTTSACAAAAACTTTTGTATACATGCGATATTGCATTTCTTTCTTACATACTGGGTTTAACAACCTGAACAACATATAGCTACACTGCTCACTCCAACGGTGTTTAGAATAAAAATTTGTGTCATTAATGATATAAATCTCTGTCATGAATGCCTGTTATACTTGATGTCAAAATCATGCAGTTATGACAATCATATGTGATGTAAAATWCAGGCATGTGTGACTATCACATATGATGTAAATATCATGCAGTTGTGACAGTCCTATATGATGTAAGCACATGTAAAAGTTATGCATTTATTAATTTATTGTAATTTAGTTTATTTAGAAAAAATGAAATTTATTTTAATTCATGTAATATTCATTCATTAATTCATATTAAAAAAAAATTGTACAAAAATAAAAAAAATTAATTAATAAAGTTTCATTTTTTTGTTTTAATTTGATTTGTTTAGTTTTTAAATTTAATTATTGTTTCCGTTTGTTTTTTAAATAAGTACGCTGCTTTAATCTGTGATGGCTGAGCAGTATTGACCGCTTTATATTTTGTTCGAAACTCCTACACYCTTGTTGTTGAAACACATCTAAATTAAAAGAAAAATATATATTAGTAAACATTTTAAGTAAACATTAAGTTGAAATTGTATATATGTATGTACTTTTTAAAATGGTATCAACCARCGCCAACTTGCATAGGGATTTCTTGCTCCACCTACCATCCCAATTATATCCTTCCATGAGCTCATCTGAGAAAACCTTCGGTATTACGTCTGCCACATTATCACTGGCGCCTTTAAGTTTATGGAGGAATGTAGTCTTAAAAGAAGTAAAAGTTTTGTAACTAGTAGTAAACTTATTATATTTTATTTTWTAGGTTACCATTGTTTGGGCATAGTCATGGCTTTGCAGTCTATCTTCCACTTCCGCAACTGTTGCTTGCGACTCCATCGGAAAAGTGCTAGCGACGTCGTCCAGCTCTTTGTCAATCACTTTGCCAGTCATGCGGTACACTGACTGCTCCACTCGTTTTAAGAGAACTTTGCATTCTCTGATCGACTTATTTTGCGCCAAAACCTCAGCCTTTTCGACAATCTAAGAAATAAATTTAGACGAAAAGATATAAATAAAGTTTKAGATTTACTTTTATTACTGAGTGTACAATATTGTAAAACACTTACTTTCGACTCCATCTCTTTAAGTTTTTCAAATATAGCGGTTTGGTTGTGAACCAGTGACGATTGGCCTTCACTAAGGGTTGTTTGGTTCTGGAAACTTAAAAATACATTTTCCTCCAATTTKTCTAGCCTTTCTTGTACATTCTTTTGGATCGCAATGATCCTGTTTAACGCTTCATATCTTAAATTTAAAAAGTTAATATATATTTTATTAGAAGCTTTAAGTTAAACATTACCTGTGTTTTGTTGTGTTGTTGATATTCCCACTAGATATTGGCGCCGCTCAATCCTCTCAACGATTGGAATCTCTACTAAAAATTAATAATTTACTTACCATTTATACTTATTTCGATGAGTATTTTCCCTTTAACTTACCACTTTCATCTTGCGTCTCGAATATGTCACTCATTTGTATATATAATAATTATATTATATTATAATTATATTATATTAATTATATTAGGTTAACATCATAAAAATRTACAGTATTGTTAAAATRTCGTGCAACATATTGCATTTGGAGTTTRTTGCTTAACATATGAACAATACTGTATATTTTTTATGATGTTTTATATTTTTTGTTATATTGCATTTATATACAGTTTTGGTTATATTAATAAAACCAAAATTGTATATTAAATTGTTAAAGTTGTGGAATTGAAAGTGGAATGTGCAAATCAGTGGTTAATGGGAAAATGTGTTAAAAAGATGATGTAAAAGTGGTATTAGAAAATATTTCTCTTCGATAGGAATACAAAAGTATTTGAAATCAATRTCTTCGATAGGAACTGTTACCATTTCTTCATCTAATTCACTTGCAACTACAATCCCTAGGCCACTTAGGCCACTTGACGATTCTACAGGTTCATTAAAGTAGTTTTCAGTCTTTCTGAAAACTTTGCAGACAATTTCATACGACTGTTGAGACTTTATGACATTAAATACCTTCATTGGTCCTGTCAACTCACTAAAACAAAAACTATCTTTCTGCTTGTTGGGATTTAAATCAAATGATTCCAATTTTGGCTCATTCTCTGAATTTGATTCAATACCCTGTTTTTCATCAAGTCTAAGATTAATTTGCTGTAGAATTTTATTGGGTTTATTTACAAGTTTTTTTATATTCTGCATAAAGTTTTCGAAACGATACGCTGAAAAAGAATCTAATGGTCCAAGCTGCTTTACGCAATCTACCAATTGAAGTAGTCCATGAATATTAAAGCTAACCAATTCATCAAATTCCAAAAATATTGACGAAATCTGTTAGCACTTGTTGGGCAATATCGGCTTCGATTCGGTGTGATTTTTCATTTGACAAAAGTCGAATACTACTATGTAACAGCAGAAAGTGATAGTATTGATCKGTACTGATACAATCTTTAAGAACGAATATACCAGAATAAAGCAAAAACTGCATAAACTCAGTCGATTTCCAATTATGAATCTCATCTAAACTTCTAGATATGCGGCCAAACTCTGATGGGATAAATTTAGAGACGTAGTCAAGCTTTTCGTTAATAATAGTATGATTGGCCTTTTTTGTTGCAAGTTTAAGTAATTTCCTTGTTACTCCTAAGTCGACTAAGTGCATACTATCAAGGGGAGACTGAGAAACCATCCCAAAATCTGATTCTTCCAAAATGCTCATTTTGAATTTGAAATCTTCCAAATGATGAGCAGGATTTGAACGTAACATAAACGTTGTATCCGATCTTAAGGAACAGAGGTTTTAGTGAAAACATACTCTATTTTTTTGGTAAGTAGCAGCATTTTGGACAACCATTTTTGCCGTTGTGTGATATAACACCTTTTACAAAAGCCCTCGCTGGGGAGTCACAAACAAAAAGACGAATGTTAAATTTTAAAACGTTTGGCTTAAATCCAACTTTAATGCCTATTGCTCTTAGCGACACGACCTCGGCACAAAATTCGGACATGAATAGATCTATATTACTTGGCTTCTTGAACCCGGAATAGCATGCTATCATAAACGGGCTTATATTAGGGAAATCTACAACTGAACCCAAGATAGGCCATAATACCCTGTTTGAACTTTTATACAATTTTAACCCATCAACTCCTATATCTAAATAAAC